TATTCTATTCTATTCTATTCTATTCTATTCTATTCTATTCTATTCTATTCTATTCTATTCTTCTCCTCCTTCTCTTTTTCTTTTTTCTTTTTTTACTTAAAGCAGTGAAGATTAAGATCTTATGGTTTTAGGATAAGTGCAGTTCCTCACGAGGGCCAAACTCATTTCTGCATGATGATCTTTTGGTGATTGCTTACAAATAAAATTATTTATAGCATTTTATTTTAGCTAATATACTTTTCCTCAAATGCCAGTAACTGTAAGAATTAAAGAATTTTAAAACTGCTTGAGAATATTGTAACTAGATGAAAGAGCAAATACAATCAGATAAGCAAGTTGGTTATTTCCTATATTTTGCATGCTGGTGCAGCTACTCTATGGTGCTGGGCCCTTTTCTTGAATGCCTGTATCTATGTGAGTCTGGGCATACTAAAACTATCAAAGATGTTATTCTTTACATTATGGAGACACTCGCCTGCACAATATTTACAAGACTGCCTGACCATACTCATCAGTTTTAAGTCTTTTACTTCTTTCAGACTATAATCTTACTGTACAATTTTGTATTGCTAAGGCTTGAATTGCTGTGTTGCTAAAGTTTTCAATGCAGCTTCTAAACTTTGTCAAAAACTGACCATTGCTAATAAATATACCAAACAAAATGTAGATTTATATCATTGTGCTATTGACCTTTAATCTTTCAATAACCTTGTTCAGCAGTCTAATAATTATAACCTATTAGCATAAAATAATATTTTACTAGTTTCATTTTTGTTCTTTCTACATAACATAATAATATTTATTATATTGTCTTTATATTGTCTTTATTATATTGTGATGATTAGTAAATCATCTAATATATTTTTAATGGTAATAGTAATCATAACTGGCTCAGTACTTGGTACTTCTTCCTAGTTTTTACTCCTTGAAAATTTTATGTTCAGTGCTGTAAATTTAAATCGTTTTAGTTACCTTGGTCATGCTCTTCATATGTCTGGGAGGATTTATAATCCTATAATTTTAAACATTACTTTATTCTGGTCTGGAATAAAATAAATTTGAATTTATGTTTTATTTTTATTTCACTAATCCTTCAAAGAATTTGGCGCAATATACATAGTTCTTTTTGCTCTTATATTATGTTCATGACAGACCTCTGAGGAAGGTTAAGCTAAGAGACAGTGATTGATAAAAGCTCACCAGTGAACTTCATTGATTGGAAAAAAAAAATTGAATCTGGGTTTTTAATCTAACAGTTCTACTAGTATATGACATTCTGTTCAGGTCCTGTAATTTTTACGTTACGGGCTATTGTGATAGTTTTAAGATTAAAAAAAAAAAATCAATAGCAATTGATAATCTTGGATTTGATTATTCCACTTATATGTATCTGTCAGCTACAGATGCTATTAATTTTGTTTAATTATTTGATGCATTAATGCTTGAAGCCCATGTAGCAAAACATAACGAGTACACACAACTTACATGCCGTTTCCTATTCTCTGATGATTTATGTTCAAAAATTCTGGCATATTTTCATTCTATTATTTTTACCTCAGGTTAGATTTCCAGGAGATGATGTAAATCTATATAAATGTTTTTGAAAATATCAAATTGGTATCATAGTAACAGAAAAACATGAGAAAAAGTGGGGCAGTGCTACATTATTTAGATGTATAGCCTATTGGGTTGCTATAACTCTCAGAAAATACACTGTAAATATGGATGCGTAGCAGAGAACAATGAGTGTTGTAGCAGTGAAAATTTACTGAGTTTATGCTTTATTAAATAAGTAATGAATTCTAGATATTTCTAACCTTAAATTGCAGAATATTTTTGCATCGGTAGTTATAAAAGTCTTTTAAATTTCTCAACAGAGCTGTTTTATTTTAAAAATGGTAATAACACTATGTTTCTATTCAGGTGAAATGGAACAACATTTTATTATTTTTATGTCCCATTTCTAAATGCCTTTCTGGAAAAAAAGTGTTCTTGAAATTGTTGGAGCAATGATTAAAGATTTCTTCATCCATGAACAACAGCTACATTTCTAATTAAAAACTTGTTCCATCAAATAGCTTGTTTAAGAATATAGCCAAAGTTCAAGCAAAATGCTGGACTAGAAATAAACAATTACATACATCATCACCCTTGATTAATATCCATAATATGAAGAGTAGGCAAAAATTAATGAGTTGTTTCCTATAACAGTCTTCACAAGTATTTTGAAAAATGTACAAAATTATATATTTTCATACATGCTAACTTTTGATAGTTAATTCATTTTTTTAATTTAATGTGCCTGATTTTTATTGTTAGGCTTCATGCCAGACATGGTAGTAAATCTAGACTGTCTAGTCACTTAACCCAGAATTTAGAAAGCACACAGAGAGGACACAGCTAGATTACTTGCTTTATTGCAACTATATACACAGAAGATCCATCTACTTACATAGACAAAATTCAAGGCCTATATCTGTATCTATATATTCCAGGATTTAAATGCTAATTGTTTAAAACTCTATTTTTATCACATAAATATATAATTTTTGCTCTGCAGATTGTGCCTTCGAATGTAATTGTGTCACATTCCTAGTAATTTTCTTGCATGCAGGCCCAGATGCACCCAGCATAAACCTAGCAATTCAAGAATAATATATTTTGGAACAGAAATATCTGAACTAAAGTAAAGGCTTGGGATTTCTGTTTAAGAAAAAGATACTAACCCATTTTTCCTTCTAATTTATACAGACTGCAATATTTGTAGTGCTCTCTTCATATCTTCATAGACTCATAGAATGGACAGGATGGAAAATATTTTGGAAATCATCTAGTTCAATTATGTTACTAGTGCCAAAATTCACTATGACAATAGATGGCCATCCATTTAGCCTCTGCTAAAATGTCTCCAGCAAATAAGAGCCTCTTACTTCCTGAGGCAGTCTGTTCCATGGCTGTTCTTCCTGATGCCCATAGGAAATCTGTTTCATTCTAATTTAAATCCATAGCTTCTCTTGTCTTCTGGATCAGCACTGAACAAATAATTTACTGGATCAACTGAATAGAAGTTCCCCATAGGAAAAACATGTTACAAATTATCATTGCTTGCTTAAATGTATACTGTGTGAGAAATGATTAAGTGTAGAATTGGAAGGCTTCTTTCATTCAATGAAAGCAACACAGAGAGATCTAGCTTCTCTCCTTCCAGCTGGATAGAGTGTTACAAGTTAAAATACCACTCATGAAGTGCCCTTCATAGGAAAATAAAATACTGGGCACAGCCAACATGTGTGTTATTGTATAGTAAATTCACTGGGTGATTTGCTCCATTATTCACTCTCAGCCAACATACTCACAGAGTTATTTTTTGTAATTATAAAATTCCTATATAAGATCCTTTGAATTCCTAGAGGAAAGGTAGGATATCTAATACAGGTAGTCTTTGCTTAGTGAGCATAATTGGGACTTCCCATTTGGTTGTTAAGTGAGTCACCATGGTCATTAAGCATGATATCATGTTTTACTTCCACATTCTTCATTAACTCTGCGTGTTGGAAGCCAGTTGTGAATCACATGAATGGAGATCCCGTGACCATGGGACACTGCAACAGTCATAAATGCACACGGGTTGCAAAGTGTCTAAATGGTGATCATGTGACCATAGAACAGTGCGATGGTCATAAATGCAAGGACTGGTTGCAAAGCTGGGGTTTTTTTATATTGTCATAACTTCAAACAGTCACTAACCAAGGCAGTCAGTAAGCAAGGACTACCTGTAAATAAATGTAATGCCATATTACACAAAACATGTTGCTCTTACTAGTAAATATGCTTGGCTACTGAAGTTTTAGTTTTTACACGTGAAAGTCATTTTCCAACCTCTTCAGAATTTTATGGGTTTGATTTATTAAGTTTGCTAGTTAAAATTCTTTTTAAGAATAAGAATGGGTTGTTTGCATGATATTTCCTATAAAAAGTGTATACAGTTTCTGGCCAATTAAACAATACAAAATTATTTCTAAATTTGAAGAAAAATGCCCTGATTTGCTTTAGAAGGAGTTAATAATTGAAAAACTGAGAAGATAAAAATATTGAGGGCAAAATCATGTTTAATGGTAACACATTTTGAAACAGAGTTAACGTATTTCTGTCTAAATAACAGTATAAAAATGTACTCTCCACATTTTCTGCATTTTTAGCAGTTGTAGGTTAAAAACAAAAACCAGTATTTACAGGAAGTCCTAGTTCCTCAGAGTTGTCCTCAAAGAAGCCTTGAGGCTTCATTTCCATCTGCTTGACATGTAGGACACAATCACCTGAAGGCTGCAGTGCAGAAAAGTTGTGTCACAGCCCTCGTAATGGATTCTTTCATTCTGCAAAACTCTTCTTTATCTGTTTATCTGATTTTTGTTATTAATATATATATATTTACAAATTGCATAGCATCTCATAGTAGGGTAGGCAAGCAAGGGAAATTCTTAAGAAATGAATAAATTCCTTGCAGGCAAAACAGTGTTATGCTTTGCTTAAAAATTTGACTCAAAATAAACGTTTAAAAGTGTACCTACTGCATTTTAGTTTTGTAGCTTTACCATGGCCATATGACCCAGGCTGCAACACGTCAGTTGTTTATAGTGTTTAAGTCAATGTTATTATAACTTTAAGATATTTTCTCCACCAGTTACAAAACTGCCTTATATTAAATAAGAAAAGTACTCCTTATAGCCTTGCATTGTCTGCGTTTCTTCTGATTAGTTTTAGTTCTTAGAGTCTCAGGTGGATTTTTCCCACATTTTAGCTGCAGATGTGAGAGCTTCAGTTAGAGATCTTCTGCATACAACTTATGTTACATACCATGAAACAATGTTATCTCTCTTTGTCCTTCATTTGAGGGTAATTAGAACTGGGCTACATCTATCTCACCACACAAATGTTGTCATATGTAAGTGAGATCATTGTCTCATAGGTATCATTTTGCTCAACCCCTCTAATATGTATTTATGTCTTGTTCAATTCCCAAGGTCAAAATTTGCCTCTCCCCTGTGAAGGATCTTGCATTTCAAACAAATGATAGAAAACTCTAACATATTTTTTTCTTCTTCTTAAGTCACTTAAAGATATGTAGATTCTATCCATACTGTTGAGCAGGTCTTTCCCCTACATATGTGTGTTTGTTTTTGTATTTAAAAAATTATACTGCCCTATTCAGATGACTCTACAGACTCTAGATTCTCTACAGATTAAATTCATAAAACTGATTTCATCCATTTATTATCTGTTCATTTATTTATGCTTAGAACAGATTCTACATTTTTGAAACTATTCTTTGCTCAGCTTACAAAACTACCACAAAGCATTTTTCTTTGCTTCTTAGAAAACAATTGATAAAGATAACATATTTCTA